AAACAATGACATTTCAATGATTTGGTCATCATAATAAAAAATTAATGAATAGTGGTAGATAAATACATATTACTATATATAAATTAATGAAACTTAGTGTTTTTGTTTCTAATAATAATGATTTATTGGTCACGGTTAAAATAGCAAAAACGGCTTGTTCATTATTCTTAAATGCATATGTTTATCAAAATTAATTATTGACCAATGTCTTGGTCAATTTCACTATTATTTTATATAAGAATGGTTCAGGTCATGAATATAACAAATGAATTATTGAACGGCATAAAATGATGAAAAATTTAATTTTTATTTAATTAGATGAATAAGATATTCTTATATTCTTATATTAAAAACTAAATGGGAACATCAGGGAAATGTTTCAACAAGATTTCATAATTTTGTCACGGTTGGAACAAGAATTTATCAATCAGAAGCTTGACACTGACGACAAGTATTATAATCGCTCAAACAGTAAACAAACAAAAATATTTTTTTTTTTAAATACTGTCAGAAAATGTTTTGTTTTTTTGTTTCACAAGAAAAAAATTTAGTGTTTGCAAAATATTTTTTAAATCAATTTTAAAATAATAAAAAATGTACAATGTTAATAACAAAATATTTTGTAGACACTATCCTAAGCGCATTTTTAACATATAAAAAATCTTTTCTGACAAATGATCTTCAATATTTTTGTTTTGTTTTAGGTTGCGCTTTTCAAAGGTGAAGGAACCAACAGACAGCAGTTCTGTTGACGTCACTCAAGCATATCTTATAACGTTATCATGACGTATTGACATCAAGTCATCAAAAATTAAATTAAAAATATTATAGTATAATACACTAGGTACTAAGTAAAATAATAATAACATAAAAGTAATAATAAMATAAAAATAATAATAATAATTACAATGATGATAGTCGATAATATTAATAATAGTAGGCAATAATAATTATGTACAATGCGATTCGAGTTTTATCATCGGTTAAAACGCAAATACTCGAGTAAATGTTATGTCGCTAGACCTTCGGTGCGGTTCTGGGAGATATGATTTGTGTGCGCTATCGGAGACGATTGCGGCGATTGGGGTGCGCAGTTGTTGAGCTGATGGTCGTCAGCAGACTTGATGTTGACAGCCGTCTGTCGGTCGTAGTGCAGGTCCCAAAGCGGCGGTGTCCTAATGTGGTGGGATGGCGGCGACGACGATGACGACATGACATTGTTCTGCTTGTCGGCGGAGATGCTCGGCTCCTGTTTCATCATATCACCCGGAAACGTGCCACCGCTGCCAAAGTTGCCGAATCCGCTAAGAATACGATTGTTAACGTTGCTGTTAACGTTTTGGATAACCGATATTTCGTTGATCTGAAGGGAAAAACATGATTAATAATTAAATTTTGATTGGTAGTATAGCGATACTGTTATTGTCGATGGTATGCTATTAATTTATTAATTGTAAATCGTATTAATTTATTATTATTTATTAACATCCGCAGATAGGATGATATAATATCGTATTCATATTATCTTCTTAATAACTTTAAAATATTTGTAGTGCAATTGAAATACGATTTATAATAATGATAAAAAAAAAACCATAAGGGGAAATGTGTAATCACCTTTTGTTGATGAATTCCGTTTAAAAACGGACCGGGCAGAAACGGATGGTAATAGATTTCTGGTCTCCGTTGGAGGAAATCTGTTTCTTTGACACTGTTGGCAATTTGCAACGGCGGAAGCTCTAGCGACATTCGCCGCCCTCGTCTGGAAGTTCCATTTGTCCACATGTGCGTTCCCATGTGCACCTGTACATTTCCAAAACGAACGCCCGAACGCAACATTAATAACGTATATACAATTATATTATTGTAATACGTTAATATATCCCGCTAGGGACTCTGAAGTAAGCAGCTACCGGATAAGCTTACTTTAAGATTGCCTTTGGTCGTGAACGCTTTCAGACACACTGTGCATCGAAAAGGCTTATCACCCGTGTGGGTCCTCATGTGGATTTGTAGTGCAGAGGATGAAGAGAAGTTCTTGTTGCACACGTGGCACAAGTGTTTGGGTGAACCTTGAAACGCACATGCAAACAAAATAATTTTAGTCTATTTCGTTGTATACCTAATGTATGTAGGTATCAGTCATAGAAATAGGATTATTATACGATTTAAATTAAACAAAAAAGATAACTATCTGTACCAAAGAAGCAAAGATGTTGTCGGGACGGACTTATTTTTAGACCTATATTCAATTTGAACGACATGCACAAGTGACAAGTCGTTAAAACATTACCAATTGCTAGTAATTATATTATAATTGATTTTTGGCCATTTGTCTGTGTTAACGTTTTGTGTTATCATAGTTGGCTTTACTGCATCTTTTGACGTGTAATYGTAATATAAAATAATACAATAATAATTGATGCAATGATAATGATATAATGAGTACCTACCAAATATGACAAAATTTTAATACATAATTGAAAGAGATGCGTAATAGTCAATACAAATATGATTTCAGAAATCTATTAATTTTATTAAGTTGCATATTTTTTTCGTCTGTAGCAATAATTTCCTATTTTACATCCCATGTATTGTGACTTCTGGCGAGTAACTTGATGGTATACTACAGCGCTTCTCAACCTGTGGTACGCGTACCACTAGTGGTACGCGGAAAGCTCATAGGTGGTACGTGACTATAAAAAGGTTGAGAACCGCTGGTATACTAGATTAACCCCTACAGGTACTAGAACTACAAATTTTAAACTTCCGGTGATGATATTATTAATCATTACTATTACTATTTATTACTAGCTTACTTGGTTGTCTCTTGGCCGATGGCTGGCCAGCGTCAGGATCTGCCAATGAGCGTTTTGGCGATGACGACGAAGAAGACGACAGACCTCCCTCGGTCGTGGCCRGAGGTTTTCTAGATCCGGAGCCCGGAGCGTTGTACAGATGCTGGTGGCCAACGTTGGGCACGGATAGTGTAACCACCGGTTGGATTGAGGATTTAGCAGAGAGTGGTTGCGACGGAGGGGTCTGTGCAGACGCAGCTTGTTGTTGGGCCAGTGGCGGGGACAAGTCGACCGCTGACTGAACAGCGGTACTGGTTGTTGAAGATCCGGTGCACGTGGATGCGTTAGCCGATACCACGGTCAAAGTACTGGTCACCGCGGGCATCATACCATTTTGAGGTTGTTGCAATACGACTTGTTGTGATGACGGTGGTGGTGGAGGCGGCAGTGGTGGTGGCGGCGGTGGCAAAGATCGAGGCCCGACCCCACTGGTTGTGGTTCCGGATGAAGCTGATCCTGTGACTGCAGCCACGGCGGCGGCGGCGGCTGCGGCTGCTGCAGCGTTTTGTGCGGCTACACTCAAAAGCATTATCTGCTGTTGGTGATGATGCATCTGGTGCTGATGGTGCTGTTGGTGATGCAAGTGATGCTGGGCCGCGTCACGACTCTCAGAGCTCGCGTTGCTGGCTGTGTCATCGTGACCACAGCTAGTCGAATTGTTGCCGTCGAACATGTTGTTCGACGAGCTGCCTCCACCGGCGCCCGTCGACGACATGTCTCGAGTTTTATGCGTTAGCATGTGCTGTTTCATATTACCCTGCAACACATGCAGAATACATACTGAAAATCTGTGGTGTCATAACATTGATAATTATCACAATGACAACACGATCATGACGTCATGCAATCGTATGGATAGTGGTTGTGTCGGTGGTAATGAAAGGGAATATTAAAGGGATTGGGGGGAGATAGGGTGTTGAGCTGAAGAACAAAATAGGAGTGGTAAAGTTGTCGGAACCGAGCAAATCGCGTGTTTCAGTAGTTGCAACGATGAAAAAATATATTAAATAGTTACTTAAATAAAACAAAGTATAACGTTCGTCTTTGTAGTCTTGTTCCAAACGGTCATATCACATCCCTTCGGACATAATTTATGATATAATAAAATTAGGGGTGAGATGCTTTATTATATGGTGTTGTGGACGCATATCGGATTCAGGAAAATACATTTTCTCATCTTTGAGTATAATTTACGAATAAAACCCTACGGGCTACGGCAAACGTAAGGTATTTTAATAACAATAACACTTGCACGCGATCAGTCAAAATATTTTTAATAATAATAATAGAGTCATCTCATAAAAACATCTCCTCTAAGACCATAAAAAGCTCATGTTCAACGAGTTTCGAGCCGTACGCGACTGCCTATCTGAAAATAATCAACTACGTAATTTCATCACGTCTGGGGAAGAAGGGTTCGAATAACGATAATAATAATTGTTGTAAATAGATGATATCATGTTGCGTATGAAAAATCTGTCAGGCGGCGACTTCGTTGGTTGTGATAATTGTATTGCCTGAAATTGTATTGATTTTGCCATCAAAGCAAACACACTGCAACGTGTCGATTGTGTGGTATGTTCGTGCGGCGAGTGGTTTGTTTGATTACTTATTTGATAATAATTATTTATAAAGTTGCGCTTAAAAATATGTACAACACCGAATTTTTCGTACACCAAGGTAGGTGGTACAACGGTATATTTTATTATTTCTYACAGTTACTGTTTCTTTGGCGTAAATTTCTAAAGAAGTTTGAACGTTAATGGGGAATGTTTACCGAAAACTTTAAGACTCCTCGACAACTCCATCTCAACGTATAGTTTCACCGTTCTCATCTACGTGTATACTATGCACACGTATTTCGAACGCAATTATTTCAGTCGAGTACGCGTCTCTATTCGTACGCACGCACTTCGAGGGACACCGCAGCAGACGTCATGCGGTTTYGGTTTTCGAGTAGATGATATATAATACGATTATTAGCACAAAGCATTCGTTCTATTATAATTATCTCGTGATGTATAATATTTGCRGGGAATGGTCGTGAAATAATATACCTACTGTAGACAATGCACAAACATATTATATTATGAGGACGTCCCGCAGAAATGTTTTGATACATAAACAATTAATGCACGTTGACACTGATCGATTATAGCTATCCATAGAGMAATTTATACATGTTGTAGAGATAATCACTTAATATATGAACATTGATGATAACACGATTTTGTAATTCGAATCGTACGCTTTTGGTTGAAATTATTTTTTAACATTAAGTTAAAATTGTTTTTAAAAAAAGGGTAGTGTACAAATGTAGAGAATCAAAACCACAAAACGAACGTTAGTATGAGATATAATGACCTCAAAATATTCATTTAATTTGCCTATATTTTACCCCTTAAAAACTTATAAACTACTCTTATTATATTGTCACTAGAATCTTGGAAACGCTGTGATTGAATGGCTTTTCTGCAGTAAGCCGTTTTCGTTAACATGGATACGTAAAAATAGCATAGCATTATTATAACTGTTGCGGTATTGGACTTAACTTATAACTTTTGATCGTGAGCATTTYGATTCCACCTTCCACGTCTGACATAAACATATATTTGTTCGATATTACGTTATATTGTCATCGTATACAAATCACTAGTCACAATATTATGAAACGTTAATCAAAATAATTAAAATGTCATATTATAATCAATAAATTAAAAACCATAAGTATGGATATTTATTTATTTTTATATGTATCTATAATACAATATACCTATAACGAGTGATTTTTTTTTTTACTATGAAATACAAATCGCTGATTTTTTCAAAACTCAGATGCTGAAATGAAAAATATAGTTCAAGCCTTACTTCCTATATTATGACATAGAACGTTTTATTGTTTTGGGCAAGCATTAAATTAAATTTAAATAGTCTTGATAAACATATTTGGTTAATTTCAACAATACACAAGAAAGATTGGTAGGCAATTCAAAGAGAGAAAGTAGTATAGTATTTATTCTGCACCCAATGTTGCAGCAGCTCATAGTCATGGATCGTAACAACTAACAATATAATTGTCGTCGCGGGATATGAATATGGAAAACGTATAATATCATAAAATAACATACACACGTGAAAATATTTAAATAAAAATACGATCAAAGGTAAAGAGCGTGAATCCGGCCAAAAATCCAATCACGCATACAAACCATGACACATTTTATTGTTTTCAATTTAAAAAAAAATTCCATTTCCGTGTATGATGATGATGATGTATTATAAGTCGACTAAAAACCGTCACTTCGGCGTCGGCAATATCAAGTGGAAATAATTTCGAATACAAACATAATAATAATATATAGGTACACATGCAYACCCACACACGCAAACACACACACATACACAGTACAGTGAAATGGAAGTGGTACACCTCTGCAGTTCGTAGAGTACGTTACTACTAAATGAGCATCCCAGCGAAACATATTTAAAAAATATAGGTATTCGAGTAAAGAAAAAAACAAAGAGAAAATTAGTAATAAAAAAGAGCAACATTATTTTACACGAGAAACTGTATAGAATGGAAAAAAAAAACAAAACAAATTGCACTACAAAACATAAATGACTGTGGAAATTAATCCATGTCACTGACGTTGAATTTTACTGTACGTTTCTTCTGAGAAAGAAAAAAACAAAAAAACGCGATGAAACGTGAAACAGATAATAATAATATGCTATACAAGACGTATAATGTGTGATTTGAAAAATGACGGATGTATGTGACAGATTTATGTCGAAACGATTCGGTGCTTTACACTGCAGACTATATGATGATTTCAGCGACTTCGTTTCGTTATTAAAAACCATTTTCAACAGCGAACATGTCATGAATTTGACGACTATTTTATGTAAAAAACATACCGATATTAGTAGATTGACGGAAAGAACAATGCAATTAATTACTGTTATATACCTAATGTAGGGTCGTAGCATAAAGATATACTGATCACATAATATACAAGCAATAATATTATTTACACCTTTAAAAAATATTATTATTATTGTTTTTTTTTTAATGAAATAAAATAAAGGTATATTTAATATTTACATAAATAGGTACCTATTAAAAAGATAACAATAGGTATTCACGGGTTGTCATCAAAAGACTAGTATGATATTATTTTGTTGTAATAATTAAACATTCACGTTAAATATTAATACAGTTATACATATATATATATATATATATAAAATTGTAGAATTTTAAGTTTAAAAGTCAAAATTTTAATAGGTATATTACGTGAACAGTCAAGACAATAAATAAGTGAAAAGGTGAAAATAGAAATAACGCGTAAACAAAAAATTGCTACCTCTTTAAAAAAAATACGACCCATGGGACATGACACTGTCGCTCACTCCTTAAATACTTCACAGCATATAATGTATATTAATATACAATGATATTATAATAATATGTATATGCAAGAATAGATATACTATCCCGTAAATAKCCTAATTATAATAACATGTTATAATATACTTAATTAGTAATTACTAACGTACAAGGGAGAAAAATAATACTTTAAAGAAAAGTATTATGTTTTATCTTTTAGATAGAACCTTAATTATAAAATATTATGACTCAATCATATAATTTACGATGATTTTGTGTGAACTCTTACTCTAAAGTCACTGAAATGAATCGTAGCAAGGTGTATGAGCAAATGCTGAAATTGTATAGCCACATATATAATAATACGCCTTAGTGCTAATTTCACAATAATTCACGTTGCACTTTCCAAAACTAATTTCCTAATTTTAAGAAACTAAATTAAAAACTGATTTTTTTCTCAATTGTCTGGTTTTTACATATTACAATTATGTATGTAAAGCAAAACAAATTAACATAGTATTAATTTATTAGTAAAGATTGCGTAATTAGTTTGAAATAAAATAAAATTATACTAGGGAATCATGTAATATATTAAGTAGGATTAAAAGAAAAGATTTTAAAATACCATTGAAACAATGAATTATGATGAATCGCATTTCGTTTAAATTTATGCGCGATGTCGTCAAATAAATGGAATCGTTTGTACCGATTAGATAACAGGTAGTGGTGGACTATTTTACTGTTTTTTTCATAAACCAAATTTGAATATTTTAAGAGAAAATCATTCGTTTTAAAATATGAGTATAGCAAGTGTTTTTTTTCCGGTTAGTCGATGTATTTAYTTTTAAACAAGTATTATTAAGGTTTTATATTGCATGGTTATATTATTTGTGCGCGTTAAAGAACAATTCGAAAAATACAGTATAAATGGAAATATATTGTAAAAAAAAAATCACGTTGAAAACCGCCAAGAGAAATTTAAATAATGTTGAAATGTCCATAAAGGATCACATCTGGCGACTACTCCGCAAAGCGGTGATATAAAATTGCAGGTAGCTAGGTATCTATTATTATTGAAAAATAATGTGTAATATTAATGTTTTTTTCAATTGTAAATCAGTACATAATTTCACAGATACAATGAAGATGGCAAAAATGTCTGATTCGAGTTGGGTGAATTGTGTTATTGAGACTGTTTTACAACAATAAATCTAATTAAATCAGCAACATATTATAATATTATGTTAAGCATGTATGCAACCGAATATCAAAAATTATACATTTTGTTATAGGTATATACAATACACGCCGGAATCAAACACTCAACAGTGGGATAAAAAAAACATGGTTTCAAAATAATATTATATAATTCGTTTTCGGACGGACCTCGACAAACATAAATGATAAATGTCAAATAAAAATTGCATTATAATATGTATAAAATATGAACGTCCAAGTCAAATAAATTGAATAGAGCACACAATACCATTGATGTTGGAACTTATATTTCATTATATCTACATAATTATGGGTAAATAAAGCTTCAGGTAGGTAAAAGTAAAAACGTAGAATTTTTAATTTTTTTGTTAGATCAATATCATTCGTTTGCCCGTTAAAATCAACAGGTTTTTTCACACTTTTTGTTAAGATGGATCGCGAAATTATTCCATTACTCTACCTCCAGTCAAACAACAGGGAAAATGAGAAAATAGCGCTAGAGCGGCTCTCTCAAATTCACGACGATGTTAACAGCGAAGCGTTTAGATATATACACCTCTTGAGTGTATAGAGATTCCGACCAATAAGCGTAATATTACATTAATATTATTACTAATATCCATCGCCGTAATGCCAGAACGGTGTTCAAGACCCAATCAACCGTAGAAAATTAATAATTAGTTTTTTTTTACGTTTTAAATATTTATTGATAGCTTTTAACTATCGAGAAAAATATAATAATATAATAATATTAGGCCAGTATGCATCATTCAACTTACAATACAATACGATACAAGATACAAAAATAAATGTGATTTTTGTTCCTCGAGTAACATTTCAGAAATGAAATAATGTTTCTAATTGGATGGATGGAACTTTATTTTGATGCCTATATTTGTACACAAAATTATTCTACTGAACACTTGACTAAAAAAAGGTAAATAAATACAACTTAAAAGTATTTAGAAGACAAGGGAATCCTTCTTACACTTATGAATTATAATACTAAATACCAACATAGTATTTCAAACAATTATTCTTAAACGACTAGTTAAAAAACAATATGTCAATATACTTTTTAACTATGGGATATCAAAAGATAGGTAGGTACTGATATACATTTTTTTATAATAACCACAAATTGAATTTGTATATACACTTGTTTGGTACCTCTCATTATATAAACAATACAAAGCATATTATTGTTGTTCATTTAACGATAAATTGTACTGTCATTTTTGCTGTCAGTATGAAAAAGAGGCAGATATAGTAGGTTTTTTTTTAATGAGAAGATGCAAATAACTGTTGAAATTTCGAAAAATGTTCTTTTGTCGGAACGAAAAAATTAAACGGTTCCAGTCCTCGCTGGAATATAATATAGTTTTAAACACGAACAGGAAAACGATGTTTTTACGAGTATTGTATGCACGCAAACAATACTTTTTCCATGCAGTAAACAACCTCATATCCTAAGGCTTTGATCGATTTTTCAAAGAACACAATACAATTTAGCACCGATCTCTAGAGAGTATTTTTTAGTTCAATTCTGTAGCGAACTGTTGATTTCAACTTGATATAGGAGAAGAGCTCTGAGTGGCACATCGAGGTATAAACATTATTTTAACATAATTGTGCATAGTCTATATTTTTGTCGTTTATACCTAATTATTTATTAATAATTATTAYTTGTAACCTGAAGTGGAACTTATCATTGTAGCTATTACACGGTTGTGTACGCAAACATGGATGATGGCCCAATTAACCGTTAGATATTATTTAAGGCGAGCCTAGTTTCTAAATATATAGAAAACACAAAACTTTTAAAGACTTAAAACCATATAATATTATGGTTTTTGAAATTTTCCACTAAATGTTTTTTTTTTTGTTTTATAAGAATATTTTGAAAATTTGGGCTTCATTGAGAGTGCTTATAAAATGCCATTTACCGCCTAAGAATTGATCGAATCTGGTCCTTAAACTAACGGGTTGGGTTTGGGTTGGGTATCTAACATTTACGAGTATTATTATGATGAATTATATTTTTGATAAATGATATGGTTAAGTGTCGATCGTACCTTTGTCGAGAATCCTCGGTCACACACGGAACATTTGAACGGCCGCTCTTTGGTATGGCTCCTGTAATGGATCTCGAGAGCAGAGTGGCACGCGAACGTTTTGAAACAGATGTTGCACGTGGTGTTTCCTCGAGCAGCTAAAACATACACATCGGAAATAATTATTTTGCATAATTTTTGTCGCGCACATGGGATAGTAGGTAACAACCCTGTCACACAAATATTAAAAATAATAATAAAATCTAAGCACCCGGTCCAAAAAGCCACCCGCCGACGACGAAGACGTGCGCCGGATAAGCCCTTGCAGCTTGTAACGGACGGAAGAACACAAATCAAAATATTAATAATAATAATTATTATTATTATGATAATTATTATTATTTTTATTATTAATTTCATGCTAGATGATATCGCGATTTCTCATCATCTTCTGGAGGAACGAAAAATAAAACARTACACACTCGTATTTATATAATAATACCAAAAACATTTTCTCACGCGTTACCGAGGCACACGATATAATGTTTTCGATTTTTTTCCCCGAAATGTGATTTTTCGAAAATATATTATGTTTTATGTGCAAGCAAATGTTTCAAATATTCGTTTCATCTCGTTTTCAGTATAAAAATAACCCACGTCTTACAAGTCATGACATTCGTTTATTTATATAAAATATACCATTTTAGATCTTGTACAGAACGAGGGGGCGGTTTTACAATGAAGTGTACTCTATTTTTCTTTCGGTTAACACTTTTTGGAGCAATAAAAGTTTCAAATTTTTCACGTATTCCACTAAATCAACCAAATTGAACACAGATGGTACTTTACAGACGTCATTTTCGGGAAATCTTTAAGTAAATTACCGACCACATTCGGTTGACTGCAAATAAACGTATGTAGAAAAACAGAAAAACCCGTTCTTGACGATATCTGATGTTTTGGCTAAATCGAGTTGCGCCTCAGCAGAATGGTTTTCGAGTGCTAATTAGTATGATTTATCACATCGATCTCCGATTGAAAATTTATCACACTAGTTYTTAAACGCCAAGGTGAGCAAACCGAATGCATATTGCATATAATATTATATAATTATTATACAATATCTACAAAACCTACACTGCTTTTGATGTCTCGTAGCAAATATATTTTATTTAAGTAATGTTCAGTTGAAACAATAAATATTTTATAATATAAGAGATTTAAAAAAAATGTCTAAACGAACAAAATAATTATTTGAAATGAAAACAGAAAATTACATTTTAGTCGTTGTGTATATCATACAGAGTGGGTTAAATAATTGTACATTTATATATTCGCAGAATACCATCTTCGTGTTTTAATTAAATTGTTTATTATTTATTAATTTATTATAATGTTTAAATATAAGTGCGTAAGAATTCAAAAAAATTCGGAAAAAAGAGACCAGTTTTATATTATAATTAAAATATATGCTATAAATTCAATAATATATGGGATTCATTAATTCGGTAGAAGTCGGCGACATGATGTTATTAGGTAGGTACTTATTTCCTACCGAMTAATAATAATATATTGTTCAATACAATCTTTGACTTAAAGGGAAAAATATATTTTATTATTATTCATGTTCATATAGATTTGGGTAACGCTATATTGCCCAACAATCAGCCTAACTTAGCTGCAAATTTYGCGATTTAATAACTAGATATATTTTAAATAAATTTATATATCTCAAAGACCGTTCCTGAGTTATACTTTGATCGTGAAGTACGAAAAACGATAAAATTATCGGTAATTACAATACTTTATTTTTTTAACGTTTATTTAAATATACACAATCTGTAAATGTTGTTTTACAATAAGTGCATGTGATGGAGGTGATATGGCTTTTGAGAGGCTGGAAATAAGAAACCGCCCATTGGAGGCACTTAAGGAATTACAATACTAAACTTCGGAAATTTAAATGTTTAGTGACGTAACGTATGTTTATAGGTTAATAATTATTTTAATGCGTAACACTTAAATATTGTTTATTTATTTTGAGATCTCATGTGGTATTGCCCGGCTAATAATATATTATATTAAAACAATAATGATACAATACTATCGTAAAACTATTTGCAGTGGTAAAAAAATTTAAATCTAATCAACAGATTTATTCTACAAGGCTGCACAAATATAAAAACATTAATAAAATAACACGAAGTTCTGTCGACGCAAATTTGAACATTGTGTTTACAATAATCTCATAAAATTCTAAAGATGAGMTAAAATAAAAATTGATACAATGTTAATTTTTATTGACAATAAATTTTACTGTTCATTACTAACTAGTAGCCAAAGAGTCCCAAACATGTAAATCCGCAATAATTTATAACCAGCAGCGAGGATTTTGAAATAATAGCGGGCGAACAAAATTCTCTCGCTAGCAAAATAATTATAATTTATGTTTTTAATTTAAAAAAAAATTTTTTAAAAATGCGTGTTTGTAAATACCGATAATACATCATTCGGCGTGTAAAGGCATAATGAAAATAATAGTAACATTATATGGTGTTTTAAAAAAAGACATGTGACGCACATATGGTTGGTGCTTATATACGTTAATAGCACGATAAATAATGGCAACGGCGTTTATAATTACTTCGATTCTCCTCAAAAACGATAAAATACAACGTCCGATAGAAGAACGAACGAACGAAACAAAGGAATGATATTACGATTTATCAGTTGGGTGCGTTGAGAATAATTTCCATCGTGTTATTATCATCGATAAAATATTATGCGGCGTGTGTATCGAGTGTACCGTGAAATGGATATTAATCGAGTCAAAAAAAAATAAAAATAAAAAAAATACAATTAGAAACAAAAAAATGGTTTTCCAACGAAATCTTGGAATATCTACCATTCGCGTTTACGAAAATGAAAAAAAATTTAATGTATCGGCCCACGGGAGAGAAGTGTATAATAGGCATCTCAGCTAGCCACCGTGTAAAAACTCTTTTTCATGAATAATATACAGTTTATTATTGTTAGTGGCAATATTTCTATTTATACACGTTGAAGAATACTACTACTACTACTACTACTACTACTACTACTACTACTACTACTACTACTGTATATTACTATTACGCGTAGCTACTGTTTACACCAAATCTTCAACATCTGTTATGATACTAATTATACCGTTTAATAACATATTAGGTTAGGTGTAATAATATAATCGTTTTGACTTTTTTTTAAACTACTTGATTGTGTATTATAAATGTGTCATGAATCATGATTATGATGATAATAATAACAATTGTGTGCCCCCACTTCCGTACACGTGCCGCGATCAGCCGCCAATTGCCATCGAGGGAAAACAAATATTTATTATTATAATCATACGCGTCATTATCATAATAAATTGAACGATGTTTGCTAATAGGTACATTATTATTTTGATTGATTGCGTTATTATCGTGGCTTATATTGATAGTATAACGAAATTCGGTATTAGATCAGATTCAGAGCACSCAACGTTTTAAAATTATCATTATTATTATTTTCATTATTATTATTATATGCGCACATGGTTTTGAAAGCTTGTCTCGAATAGTAGTCAGCAAAAGAGAAATGCTCGAGATTCTATTGATTTAGTCAACAAAGTGACAGAATGCATCTAAATATAAAACTTAATGACGCGATGAACATTTCAACGTTTTAAATGTCAATGCATTTTACCAGACAATAATGCGATGATAATATAACATAAGGAATTCAGGCGTGATGTATGCGACGCGTTTTTCATCCAAGCGTGCTTGACACGATGCCAAAAAGTGCGTGCAATTTATTCTCCGGGACTAAAAGAATAGTTATTTTACACGAATTAAATTGAATTTAGAAAAAATGTGTACGATCGAGAGTGTCTATTCATAACTGCGCGCAACGGCAACATACAATGGCACGTGATGTGCGCGGCAGTATTTAATATCAGCCAACGGCAATACAATAATAGCGACACGGACGAAATAGATGTCTTGGGATTTTTCTTTTAAAATTTTAAAATTGTTCTACAAATAAATTATCTGTGGCATTTACCAGATGGTCCGAATGACGATCCGTGGCCCGGAAGTCCGGCTGCGGAAGTAGTGGATCCTGCCATGAGCCCGGCGAACGCAGGTGGCAGATATGCAGTCATTATGTGATTGGCAGTGGTGGTCAATGCCGAATGTTTGGGCGTCAAGTCCAATGCGCGAGGGGGCGAGTATCTACTGTTGTGGAACGACATCGATACTGGAGATCCGGCCTGGGAACCGTGATGTCGCGAAGACGACGACGTCGGCCTGGGAGAAAAGGACTCGTCCGAAGTGATAAGCGGTGAACTGGCCATCATTACTCTGCCACCTGAAATCAAAAGATTAATATATTAAAATGGTTCAAATTTATTTTTTGGTAATCTTGATTGGTGTAGTTATTTGGCTGTGCTTGCTAGATGGGGGATTGAACGAAAGCCGTAGTAGGTACGAAATTATTTAAGTGCAACTATGTACCTATACTGCATTTTTGGAAAAATTATTTTTTAAAACGTTTCTTTTTACAAATATGAGTTTTGTACAGTGGTAGTGTATTTTTATTCGAAGTTAACTACAATAAAACTCTTCAAAATAATAAAACGGTTACTCTTAGTAGGCTTATCTTATTGTCCTATACCTAGTAACACAACGGTGTCCATAAATGATAATACATATAGTATGTAATAGTTACGCCCGAAGTGTTACATTATTAATGTACGTATTTTTAAGAGGTCGATGAAAATGTTAATAAATTACAATATTATGACGTGCAAGTGTAAGTTTGACGTATTTTTATTTAAGTACAGCTATTAATTATCTTATAATGAACTATTTACTTTTGATGGATAGGTTTTCAGGTTGATCTTGTAATCCATCATTCATAGTAGGACTGTTGGTCCGTTCCTCTTCACCACTGTACTTTGTGTCGACGCTAAAATCGTCAGTGTTGGCATCGATGTCATGTTGACGTTCATCGACGTCAGCTGAGTCGATGTCCACGGCCATATCGTCGATGTACTCGGAGGATGTAGGATCTTCTTTATTGTTGCGTGTCATACTGGAATCGGAGAGATGCGAAGGAGACTGAATAGACGATTCGCGGGAAGAGCATCCAGCGTTGGCCGGTTTGCTCAAGTTCTCAGGCTGATCTTGTTCGCGTTTGAACTGAAATAGTGGTAGCGGTGATGAGTGATTATTCGGCAAGTGATGATGATGTTGTTGCTTGTGTTGGTGCTGGTTGATATTGTGTTGCTGTTGGAGATGATGGTTTGTCATTAATAACTGTTCGGCGGGCTGCTGTTGCTGCTGCGACAGCATTTGTATGTTCGACGGGAGAGCTATGTCTGTCGCTGACGACTGATGGTGTTGATGTTGGCTGTGGTGGCTACCACTAGATCGGAATAGATTGGAAAGAGCCGTCGGAAAAGATGAGGCGGACGAGACCGTGGAAAACTGATGAGACAACGGAGAACGTGGAGTGAGAGCGCCAGTGGAGTTGGGCGGCATTTGCGAGTTGCATCCGTTCTGTTGGTGCGGACTTTGGTTCAAGTGCGGGGGCATCAACGCCGGAAAGTCTCTGTCCAAGTGTTCGGGAACTGGCAACGGGTTCATTTTGACATTAGGAAATTTCGACGTGTGTCTCTGGAAATGGACTTTGAGGTTACCCTTGGTGGTAAACCGACTGCCGCAAACGTTGCACTTGAATGGACGTTCGCCAGTGTGCGATCTGATGTGTATCTGAAGGGCCGAGTCGCTACCGAACACTTTGCCACAATAACGGCACCTGTGCTTGTAAAAGTTGTCTCCTCGACTTCCACCACTGCCGCCGGCGGATTTACCGTCGTAAGGCGAAAGTGAGCTGCCTTTGCCACCGCTGCCCGAGCACTTCCGGAAYGAAAGCTCGTCGGCGAGGTTGTTGGCCAACATGCCTTGGCTGGCCTTGTCCAGCACTTCTTGGGCACGGCGCTGCAACATTTCCAGCGAGTTGGGTTCGCTGGGCGACGGCGGTGGGTCTAAGTTTGTTATGATGGACGATGCGAAGGCGGACGAAACGGAACATGACGGGATGGAATGATGATGCGTGACGATCGGCGAAGAAGTGTACGGCGTCAGCGAAAATGAAGTCGACGACGATGTAGATGGTTGTGGCTGCGACTGGTGTGGGGCCGGAAGTGGCGGCTGCGCCGCACTCTCGGTGGAAACCAGCGCCATGGTCTGGACGGCGTTGGGTTGTTGCGGCGGCGGCGGCGGCGGTGGGGTTTTAACGGAAGCTTGCAAAGCTTGCAATGGCGACGGAGCAGGGCGTTGCAGTTCAGGCATCATTATTCCCATGATGGATGCCGGCGGGGGCGTCGGCGAGCGTGAGGTAGACGGCGACGGAGATCGGCTGAGCTGGAGCAATGGTGTCTGTGTGGTACAGTCGTCAGTGGTCTGATGCGTGGACATGGAAATCGGTACTGGTACAGGGATTGAAAGCGGTGTAACTGCCGGCAGCAACTGCTGAGGTGGTGCTGGGGGCAGCGGTGGCGATGTGACGGCCTGATGTTGTACAATCTGTTGCATCAATTCGTTGTTGTTCCGTGATATAGCCAATGACATGGGTATGTCGTCATTGCCATCGCTGAGTAGTGGCGGCGACACGGACAAGGCGCCGTCGATACTTCCACCACCGCCACCGCATTGACGGCTTATCTGCAACTGTTGGCGGAGCTGTTCAATGAGGCTCAGCTGCATCATATGTTGATGTTGCAACGTGTACAACGACGAATTGACGATGGCTAATTCWTGGAGCACGTTTTGGTTGCAGACGGCACCGTTATTTGAAGCCATYGCGGTGGCCGCGAACTGCGCGACCGCCACTTTGGTGTGTTGCAACGCTTCGAGGGTCACGTGGCCGGCTGCCGCCTGTTGTTGCTGTTGTTGTTGGAGTGCTGGCACGTCGGCTGCGGCGGCAACCGCCTGTACGGCCGCTTGATAAGCGGCGAATGGGAAACCGGCCGGCACCAGCGCAGACGCATCGTCGACGGCTATCCCACCGCCGGCCACGATGTCGTCAGCGCCGACGACGGAGTCTGGAAGTCCACCACCGTAACGGCGGTTGTTGTTTTCGGCGTCCTGCCGCTGTCTTCTCTGCTCTTCGTGCGCCTTATTGTGATTGTTGTTATTATTGTTGTTGTTTATGATGTTGTTATTATGACGGCCACTCCTCAAATCAACAACAGCCATCGCCTGCAGACCGGCCGCGTTGTAATGGTGTCCGTGACGGTGATAGTCGTCCATCTCGTCCATGTCGTCCATGTCGTCCACAACGTCCTCGTCGTCGTCAGCTTCACAATCGTCTTCGATATCGTCCGTGTCATCGTGGTCGTTCCGATGATCGAAATCTTCGGAAGTGGCTGCGTTGTTCGCGACGCCGGTGCGGAGCACACATGTCTTGTTGTGTTCCGAAAGCTCGGAAAAGCTCAGAAATCCCATGGCGCATTGCCTGCACGTATTTGACAACTTTCTAGGCAACTTTTCGCCGTGCATCGGCCCGTTCTCTTCATCGTATTCATCGTCTGAAGTCATCGATGTCGCACCTGCGCAAAAAAACGAAACATAAACAATTAGAAATCGCGTTTTTTTTTATTGGGCGTTTTCAAATTTCATTGCTCGTGATAGGACTTTGATTTCACCGAAACTAACCTAAACGGACGTGACTATATTATCCAGCCCACACATATAATTATTAGAGATAACCTAAGTACTCATATCTGTATTTGAATGCGCGCTAAAATTGTCGGACATGCACGCATAGAAACGGCTTGGTGTTGTTTTTGGTTTTTTTGGGGGGAGGGGGCGCGGCGATCCAAGATAAGCTCCCAGATTTAAGGGAGTCTTTAATTAACGATCGCGATGAGTGCGACGAACAAAATAAACGTTTAAAAATAAAAAACAGCAAACGAACCACGCACGACAATACACGATATAGAATAGGTATACCGTAGAGATCGTCGCGTGTATAACTTGAGGAGAAAAAAGGAGTAGATAAAAAACGTGTGGTTAATTAAAAAATATAAAATAAAAACTTTTGTATGATTTAAACACAGCAGCTCGACTCGCGTTTAATTTCCGTAAAAGTCTAGACGTCATTAATACCAATCTCGCACGCGCATTAATTGTATAATGTCACAATGATTAAATTTGTACACGATTTATATGTATACATACATATTACATATATATATATATATATATATATATATATATATAATACGTAATAACACACACACATTTAATATACACGCACATATATACATAAGCACATAAGCGAGTGAGCGCATTGTACTATATTATACTTATTATAATAACCTTCATTAGATTTTTTTTTTTTTGTCTCTTCTGCTTCTTCGGTTTCGTTTTTTCGTTCTCGGTGTTCTCACTGCGGAGTGAGTGGAGTATAAATACGGACGAGATAAAATGCAACGCTTAAAATATCTCATCATGTACAATACAATCATCGTTGCTAATTTAGGCAACATGTATACACGAAAACTGCTCCAGGCGCGCACATCGTTTCCACGGTAGATAAAACTTTGAAAACACAGAAACCCTACGACGGATTACTTTTAATGGGATTACCCTGCAGTCCGCCTACCCACACCGACCGTCACCGTTATGATGTCGAATAACGTAATTATCCGTGTCGTTGGTCGTTCCCTCTAAAGTCATACTCATCTTATCGGTCGTAAGTCGAGCTGCGTTCTAATCAGACGGAGAAACAATATAACAATAATTATTTTACGGGCTCGTTTAACATTTTATTTTATTGTTAATCAATTATAACAACATACTTGGATCCATTAACAGATCATCAAAAATTAGAACAATATAATTATGATATACATATAGCATTGGAGTCAATTCAGTTTTAAGGACTGCCGAATATTTAGACGAGCAAAACCTAATCACCACTAGATCACAGAAATGAAAAGTAGGAAAAATAGTAAATATTATGCGTGTATTTATAATCATTAAATTCTTCATATTATTTTCAATTATGTATAAAACTGTTAACGATACGCTACTTGTTTTGTATTGGTATGAACCGAGCCCTCAAAAAAATATGCATATAATTTTACAATTATCTAGGTACCAATGCTTAATACTGTTTAAAATGTTTATTTAATATGATTAAATAACTTAAATTTTGGCTGTGCTGGCAATAGTGGTGGATCGTGAACCGTATGATGGGTGAGGCAGATATTTTCAAAATGTAGACACACCATAGGGCAATAGGGCAATGGGAAATAATTTCCCACCAAAAAAAATTAAAATCTTGAAGGTTCTGTTATAATAATTCATCCACAATTTTAAATATTATTATTTTTTTTTTTTTGTTAGTATAATAATATATAATAACATTAATAACAAAAAGATTTTGTATTTTAAAATGTATAATATATTATTGAGTGTTTTAATATTCTTAAAGTCGATTGGAAATAACAATAATTATAGAATATGTCCCTCCTTTTTCTTTATAATACTTAGGTGAGGCTGAGCCTCACTTGCCTCCCTTGACGAGCCGCTACTGGCTGGCAAACAATTAAAAGACAGGCCAATATGGCAAGAGTGAAATACCGCTATAATTTACATCGTTATACCTTCAAATAATATGATGATATGTCAATTTATAATGTTGCGTCGTTATTGCAAAATAGGTATATGGAATCGATTTTCGATTTATACCAATGCAAGAGGTAGATTTAGTTTAAAAWATATATATATATTTTATATCATTATTCCACGTTAAAAATAATCCGAAATAGCGAAGAAAATACAGTCAAGTTTTTTTTTTGCCTCCGACATTCTACCATTGAAATCAAATATACGTAATGCAAACAGCCCGCCGTCGGTTTTTTGACATGAAACGTTTTTATAGTTAATTAATATTCCTTAATTTTTTGTCTCATCTGTCTGGGTGGTGCACATGAGCCGCCCGGTTGACGCCGTTCATCCGTCGTCACACAAAACATTAATAATATTAAACTGTTCAGCGAAAATATAATTAAAATCGAGACCTAAATGAAGCCAGTTAGTTTTGTTATCGCTTATTCCACGCGCGATTAAAACGTACAATATGCAATTGTTACTAMCCTGTCTTAGTTATTATCATTACRGAGGGTGTATCATCATCATCATCATATTATTATTATTGACTACTATAATTGCAAATATATGTTACATTCTTATATACTGTATTATTATGCGCGATAATCACCACCGCCACCATCCGCACCGATCATACCTTGTTAATTTTATTGTACGGAATATAAGTGCTAATCGTAAATCCAAGTAGAAAAATAATAATGGGAAAAAAACGACAAGCGTACTATCGGCGCGCGAGAGAGAGAGAGAGAGAGAGAGAGAGAGAGAGAGAGAGTAAGAGATAGCTATTAAAACTAGCTGTCGTTTGGTATTATATAGTAGTTGGTGTCTAATGTGATAATAGTGATGCAGCGGCGACGGCCAAGCCTCCTTTCCTTCTGATGTGGCTCGGTACAGTAGTTACTGCACAGTTCATATTTCGCATAAAATATGTAGGCAGTTCTTTAAAAGTAAAAAAATAGAATAAAATAAAAAAACTAATTTATTAATACCGCAGGAATGTCAATCGGAGTTAGTCGACGTCAAATAATGAGACGTTTCCTGTAACGACGACGAGTTCCAGGAGTAGGTACACGCCAATGTCCTATACCTATACTGTAGCAGTAATTTGACGTGTACATTTTTCGAAGAAGCATATTTGCCATCGTTGTCATCAGAGTCGCGGCAGTAACATGACATGACAATGAAAAAACTGGTTCGCGTCATACCACCAAAGACTAAAATCTATTAATTTTGTTTTTTAATCGCATTTTTCAAATGATCGTTTCAGTTTTTATTCCGAGAAAAATTTTCATCGATATACATCATATATTATATACACACGACAAGAACCCTCAAAAAAAATTTTAAAAACTGTAATGCATATTGTGCACGTTCAACATATCTAAACTACCGACCATAATCTTTGTGATCTATATGCTCCACAATAGTTATGATATATATATATATATATATATTTATAATGCAAATACGTTTCATCATTACTTGTATGTCACTATAGTAGAGTATAAGCCTATAATAATCTATATACCTATGTATAAAATATAAATAAAATTCCAGAACATTAAGACGATACCTACATTTTAGTACGGATAAGAAATGGCAAAATTTAATTTAAAAAAMAAAACTTTCAGGGACGTGGTATTCATCTCTGAAGTTTAATTCAGTCGACATATTTGGAAATTCCTCGTTTTGTACCTATAATACATAGTAGGTAAACACTGATACCTACCGCAACCTGCAAGGTATATTACGCGTCATAAGTGCGTCAAATTATTTGAATAAAATTACTTCAAGAAACATATTTGTACTCAATTGTAACACACAAATACTAAAATGAAACTAATTGAAATTATAAATATTCAAGAACATAAACATAATTACTAAATTAATTAGATACCAAATTGTAGTTTTTTTCTAATTGTACTAAATTTAAATTGTTTTTAACTGGCGTAACATCTTAACGTCTATATAGAAAACGTCAAAGAATCTCTGGCCGTTTTGAAACAGGTGTGATATTTATAGGGTGTCGATGATCATAAAACATAATCGTACGGTGGGAGGGGGGGGACAAAAATTCAAAACCCCTATTAATCCGAGCACACGTTTGTGTCGAAGGTAGACATATTATTATTATTATTATTAGTTATGTATATTAAACGAGAATCGTGAGGTCCATGATATTATATGTACCTGCAGTAGTACGATAAACGAGTGTAATATTATAAGTTATAACGAACTACAGTAATGTATGCATACGGTAAGTATGGTGTGTATACATCATGATAATAAAATATTATGGAGCATAATATTAAACAGCGAATGCGATAGGGTACTTTCCACAATCGTTTTCTGTTAATTGGATTCTGCGACGATCTACGCCTTTAATATTACAATGTAACACAGGTGTGTGTACGTGTACCTCCCTCTCCCCCCCCACAAACAATGCGAAACCGAGAGCTGAGGACAAATACCCGTATTAATTACCGTCGTCGTTGTCGTTGTTGTTCGGTTACGGTCACAGTTTTGTGTTTTTCCGATATAATAATAATAATAATAATAATAATAATAATAATAATAATAATAATAATAATAAAAATAATAATAAGTCGAAGAAAAATATAACGTCGAAAAAAAAAACAATACCTGTACAGCGGGTATATCTGTATAGGGAAAAGTATATCGCGCGTTTTGGTGTGTGTCTGTGAAAATAAGGAGTGATGTACATAATATTATATTATCTATACGGAGGTGTTGTACGACGGCGGCGGTACGCTCGCGGACCGGAAGTATTCGAATTAAAGCATAAAGCGTCCGCGTCTCGGATGAATAGATCTGCCGCCGCAGCCACCCCCGCCCCCGCGGAAGGATCTAGTTTGTCAGTCACTGTCTCTCATCGACGTCGCGCACAACACACGCACAAAAACGACGG